GGAATAAGCGCTTCCCTGGCAAGTGTAAGGACCTGAGTTCAATCTCCAGGTCCGAAAAAAAAAAAAAAGTGGTTAAAGACCTGACTGAAGGAAATATTTAAATGGAAGAAAGACCATATTCTCAACACATGCCTTGTGCTACTTAGTTGCTTAGAAATTCTGGAGTATAAGCTATCAACTTCTCTTGAAGTCTTCTTGCTTCTAAAGAATTTCAATTTGCCTTTTCAGCCCAAGGAACCAGTGGTACTCTGGAGAACCCAGCACTGGACACAAGTCTACTGGAAGAGTTTTTGGGCAATGACTTCGATGTGGGGGTCTTGTAAGTAATGAAAGGACATCAATGGTTTCAAACTTAAGTGGTAATTGAATGAGATAGGAAGTGTTTTGGCCTATTCTATTTTCCAAAGAATTTAGATGTAGTTGATATTATTTCTTCTATAAATCCTTGGTACATTTCACCAGCAAGGCTACATGAACCTGGAACTTTCTTTGTGAAAAGTGCCTTCTCTCGACAACTTGTGTCATGGCAAAAATTCAATAGCTTGAATAAATATGGGGCTATTTAGGTTATACTCCATATCTTTTAGTAAATTTGTCCATTTCATCTAGGTTGTCAAATTAGTGGCATAAAATTATTCACATTTCCTTATCATATATAATGCCATTAAGATCTATAGCGACGATCTTTATATTGTCCTGTGTATCAGTAGTTTGTCTCTCTCGTTTTTTCTTGATCAATCTGGAGGAAGTTTATAAAATTTCTAACTTTTTCAAAGAACTGGGTTAGAATTATAGTCCTAGTTGTTCTTCTGTTTTCTCTTTCATTGGTATCTACTCTTATTTTTGGTCCTAATACAGCTATGCAAGATTTCTTTTTTATTTTTAACTTACATACAATAAAACTTAAACTTTTTGTATTAATTTCATTGCTGGGACAAATACTCAACACCCAAAATGAAGGAAGGAAAGGTGTATTTAACTCACAGTTACTGGAGGTTTCTGTACATATTCCGTTGGCTCCAAGGCAGAGTGGCATATAGCAGAGAGTGACCTTTCATGGTGACAGCAAAGAGCAAGAGCAAAGGGAGTGGCAACAGCTCAGACGGTTAGCTGGCCTCTCAGCCCTCCTTACACTGTAAGGCAAATTACCTGCCCCAGGGCAGGTGCAGCATCCACACCCACAATAACTAATCACAAACTCCAGAAGATGTCCTATAACTGCATGAGGCTTTGGGAGGACACCTAGACACAAACCGCAACAATCCTTAAGAAATATAATTCAGCCTAATCCAAGTTCCAAAGAAATTTTGTGTGCCCTAAGAGTTTTCCTCTTTTTCTTACTGGAGACAGAGTCAGATATTGCAAGCTGGTTTTGAACTCACTATGCTGCTCACGCTGGTCTCGAGCTCATGGCGCTCTCCCTGCCTCAGGCCTCCCAGTGCTGGGTAGGAGGCGGCACCACCACGCATGGCTCGAGTTCCACCCATAGGTCTACTTGTGATCCATTTGCAATTAATTTCTGAATGAATTTTGAGATATGCCCAACTAATTTATTTGTATATGGATGTCCCCTAAAATTATTACTTTAGAGCCTTTATCCATTGAATTCATGGGTGATTAAAGAAATGACTTGGCCATATTTGTGAGGTCTCATTCCTAGAATTTCTGTTCCATTCCACTCTCCTATGTGCCTATGATTTTGTCAATACATACCATCTTTACTACTGCACCTTTGTCACAAATCTTAATATAGTGTAAGTTCTCAAAATTTGTCTTATTTTCAAACTTCTTTTATGAGGAAATATTAAAATCATCTTTTTTATATCTAGAAATCCTGCTAGACTTTAATTAAAATTGTATTAGTCTGAAAATCTACTTGGGGAGAACTGACATCCTAAGAAAAGTTAATCTTCCAATCCATGAACACAATATATGTCTCCATTTTATATTTCTTATGTCAGTGTTTTATAGTTTTCAATATACAACATATAATCTGTACTTTTTTTATGTATTTAGTACAGGGTCTGCAAGGTTTCACAACACAGCTCAGACCCCTGTTGTCAGCCTCCCAAGCACTGGGATTACAGGGGGGCTACCATGCCCAGTCTCAATTGCCATCTCAGCGTCCAGGGGGCAGGGCCAGCTTGGCATGCCAGGGATCAAACCCCAGTCCCTGCCCCTTCCTAAGCAGGTGCTTTAGTCTGCTGAGCTATCTAATCAAAATACTGTTTGATTTATAACCAGGAATTTCACATTTTTTTCTTTGAGCCATTGTACATGACATTTAAAGACATTTTTGTGTTCCAATTTTTTGCCAGTATATACAAATATCAATTTTTTGCTTGGGGGGTTTGTGTTGTAATATTAATTATATGTTAATTCTAAAGGTTTTTGAAAAAAAAATGTATTTCTTAGGTTTTTCTATGTTGATAATTATGTTACCTGCAAAATGAGACATTTTCTCTTTCTTTCCAAATGCTGTTCTTTTTTTTTGACTCTTTTTCCTGAAAGCTTACTGAATTGAGTACAATACTGAATTGAGAAGTAGTAAGAGAAGATATTCTTGCCTTGTTTCTGGTGTTAAAGAGGAACTCAATTTCTTAAATCATTAAGTATGATATAAGTTATAAAGGTTTGCAGTGTCCTTCATTCCTTCAATGTGGGGCTCCTAGTTTGATGAGAATTTTTACAATAAATAGATATTGAATTTTATCAATTTTTTTCTGTACTTATTGATGTAATTATATGTCTTTTTTGTCCTACCTATTAATATGATGAACTATTTTACTTAATTTTGAATATTGAGCTGCATCAAATTTACGGAGTAAACCTCAAATAAATCTTGCATATCAGAATTAATATATATTAATATATGACCTGCACACTTTTCCCCCCCTGGATTCACCGATTAAAACTTTGTTGTGGATTTTGCATCTGGGTGTATGATCTGGATGTTCAAGAGAATACTGGTCTGAAGTTCCCCTTTTTGATACTTTTGTTTTGGGTAGAGTTGGGAATCAAGATAATCTGTCTCAGTCTCTGTCTCT